CACAAGCGTTACACTCATTTCTGCATGTGGTAAAAGCATAGGTGCAACCGAGATTTTCTTCTTAATAATTATTTTCCTTTCATTTTTAGCTTGTTAAATTTTGTATACTTATTTACGGTTAAATATTTATTAACTTGAAATTATATTTTTATGTGTTAGCGGTTTAACGGTAAAACACAATAATAGTTAAAATAATTTTTCTGAATGGTTAATTGACAATGTACCAGAATTGCACCGATGTAATACTAATCGATTCTTATATCAATTCTTCTAAAAATTTCTAGAACCGAATCGATATGAGATTGACAATTTTTCAAATGGTTCATAATTTTCTTTCAAGAACTAAACAGATCTCACCCCTACATTTTTCTTCGTAAGTCGACATATAAAAATCACCTTGTTTTAATGTAGAATCTCCTTGTTCAACTTTATTTATCGTAAAATGATTAAAAAAAATCAAAATTTAATGTTCAAATTTTGCATATTGAGACCATTCCGGTACCCACCCCCCGACCCGGCCGGTACTAGTCCATGACTCGTTGGTCGGGTTGTTATCCCGGGTAAATAATTAGTCAAAACTGCAATCAGATCTATGCGTACTTGTGACGAGTAGAAAACAACAGAAAAGTCCACAGAAATCTTTGGTGAGGAGAAGAGACAATTGCAGAGAATTATTGAACTAAGAATGCGTTACAAGTTCATAATAATTCATTATTTTCGAAGTCAATAAGAATGAACAGAAGTTTGAATACGCCTAGACTTTGTATACTTTTACAAGTCCACATTGACTTTTACAAGTACACCTAAACTTGTAAAATCCATGGACTTTTAAAATTTTGCCACTAATTCCTAATACAATACATCTTCCTAAGTTATCTTACATTTCCACACTCCTTAATTTTAAATTTTGTTCACAAATTACTCATGCTAATTTAATTAACATTCAATAATATCTCTTCAATTCTATTTAGGTCTCCTATCCAATCAATTCTGTCCAAATTTTTCCTCTTCATTTTACAAGAGTCTCTTAAATCAAGTAACTGCTCCCTCTAAATTTATTCTTTAATCCTCTTTAATCTTCTTTTGATTATTCTTTAATTTTCTTTTAATCTATTTTAATTTTCTCTCCATTTTTTCAACACATTGTGCCGTTCTTTGAATTTTTCATTAAAATTCTAACTTTCCTTTGAATCAATAAGCAGATTTAAATGTGCTTTTCTTATTATTGTGCCTATTGTTCTTTGGAATTTAATTCACTCTTTTGTTAATATGAAAAGAGAGTTTAGGAAAATTAAGTAGAGCAATATTGATTTGTCTTTTTATACAACTGTTTTGGTAATGATATAATCACATTTACTTATTAATGTATTTTATTATGTATTTACTTAAACAAACTTATTTATTAATGTTCACTTATCTATCTCTTTGGGTGCAACATCTGTCATTTGTACAATTGATCGTAATTCATTTAGTTTTGATTTTATTTATTGTTAAGGTATTTCATTTTTTCTTTAATTTAAGTTAGTTAAAATGCATGTTTTAATAAGTTTATTGTGCTACGAGAAAACGTTTAAAGGGCATTGAAGTAAATAATCAAATTTGTAGTATAAGATATCTATCATTCAACCAAAAAATTAATGTGATATTCCCTTAGTCTTGACCAAACACAATTGTGATACAATTGAATACATTCTCTTCAATCTTACATATACAACAATCTGACAATCCCAAAGTAATATGACATTCTGTGAACCAAATGGGACCTTAGGTGTTTGGCAAGTTAAATAATCACTTTGCATTCCAACTAAAAACATTTTGCATCATACCATACCAACAATGTAAAATATTTTACGTATGGAAGGTGGTAAAATACTACACATGCTTTTTATAAAGCACTGCAACGCATTTACGTACAAATTAAAAATAAATTATACTCTACATGCAAATTAATTGTATCCCTAAACTTTGCATGCAATCATTTCACGTACAAAGATTTAACGTGTAAACTATCAAACCAGCCCTTGGGATAATAGGATAGCTGAAAGTCGGTTAAAAAGTTGCTCACTGAGGTGCTTTCCGCTTACTAAACATATCACCTCATGTATTAACTAAGCGACAATTTGAATTTTTTCAATTTTCGCATTTTACACCTTATAAATGTATACTATACCCCCCCCCCCCCCCCCAATATTGCGATGGAAGGGAGATGTGTGTTTTTTAAGAAAAGTTGAATTATGTGGTTGATAATGAGTTGATTAAGTGGAAATAAAGTAAGAATGAATTACAACCACACAAATGTGTTGTATTGTATTGTATTGTATTGTATTGTATTGTATTGTATTGTATTGTATTGTATTGTATTGTATTGTATTGTATTGTATTGTATTGTATTGTATTGTATTGTATTGTATTGTATTGTATTGTATTGTATTGTATTGTATTGTATTGTATTGTATTGTATTGTATTGTATTGTATTGTATTGTATTGTATTGTATTGTATTGTATTGTATTGTATTGTATTGTATTGTATTGTATTGTATTGTATTGTATTGTATTGTATTGTATTGTATTGTATTGTATTGTATTGTATTGTATTGTATTGTATTGTATTGTATTGTATTGTATTGTATTGTATTGTATTGTATTGTATTGTATTGTATTGTGTTGTGTTGTGTTGTGTTGTGTTGTGTTGTGTTGTGTTGTGTTGTGTTGTGCTGTGTTGTGTTGCATGTGTTGTGTTATGTTATGTTATAATTCTCCATGCCAAAGATATGATGTTAGACCACCTAAATAAAGTTTAAAATTAATGTAAGTTGAACATTGTTCTCATTATAATCACATTTTTTGTTTTCATTTCTCAAATGAGATTCGTAGCATTGCAGATTTGCAGTAAAAATGAAATGAGTAAGATACTAATTTTTATTATAAATTAGTTATAGTGGAGTTTGTTGGATGTCATTTACTTTTCAGCCTCCACATTTCTCAATATTAAACTGGGCAAATCTCCAAGTTTATTAAACAAGATTTACCAAAGCCTCCATGTTTCCTTGTAAGTCACTTAACAAGATGCATGATTGTATGACAATTACTAAGAGTATATGTATCATTCTTTTACGATGTTGATTGTCTAGAAATACTTGTGGTATAATATATGAATTATTTAGTTATTTAAATAGGTGGATATAATAATTCGTGTAAAGAACAATCATCCACATGAGAGGCAGAATTACATGTTTAGCTAGTTGAGATTTAGATTCATATGTAGTAACTCTAAACATGATATTATTACAAGCTTCTATGTATTTTATCTCTTGAATTAAAATTAAAATCATTTTAAGTTTGAATATTCTTGAATACCGCACTAACAAGGCCTCCAAGGCTTATGTTCGTCTACTTCTCACTAATAGATATTCCCATCTAAGGATTCAACACAATTCAAGCAATTATTTAATGAATTGTTTATTTCAAATCTGATCTGATTATTTATTTCCCTTTACTTATGTAGCAGTTTTTATTATTTCCCAAGGATTTAATGAATTATATCCTTTTCAGCTTGCAACAGGTAAGTATTTTATGTGACAAATTGTTTCAACTAAAACGATACATTTTCGAAGTTACGGGTTCTAACGCAAACTAAATTATGGCCCTGAGTTCATACCTATTTGGCTTGTATTTTTGTTAAACTTTCTACCTCTTTTCTTTTGTTTGCAATATTATATGAGTTGAAAAAATATACTCCGTAATTATATTATTTTCACACAAAGTACATTGAGTATCCATGCACTTTGAGATAAAATGATACACACCATTTTGAGATAAAATGATACGCACCATACATAGAATACTTGCCATACATTGGAAGCAACTGTTGGAGGATTTCACGTGATGTGCATGGATACTCATTCCATTGTCCAAGTATGCAATTCATTTTAAATTCAAAGGTAATTTTTTTTAAGATTTCTATTTTAGTTTTTTTTAAAACAAACATTAAAAAGTAATATCAAAATAAAAAACATTAAAAAGTAATATTTATATGTAATTAAAATATAATTTCTAATTAAAATTGTATATTGCATAAGGCTTAGTTATAGTACTTAGCATACAAGGCCCTCCTAAATTTTGTGACGTTCTAGGAATAATGCATAATATTTTTATCATATATTCCAAATTGAATATATATATTTACATAATAGTGTGAAATGGTAAAAAAATTACTCAGAATAAATTTTAGATTACAGTCATACCAAACAATTAAAATCTATGTTTCTCACTATTTGTTATACGAAGTTTTACTTTATCTCACTAAAATGGTGCAGGGCATCTTACATGGTGCAAGCCTTCTCATGGCATTGTGAAACTTGGATGGTGCAATTCGGGATGACAGGTGCCGACCTGGATGGTGCCTGCGAGACGAGGAAGGAACTTTTGTTGTTGGGGCTGCTCAACCATGGTCGGGGAACCTTTCGCCGCTTGGAGCCGAACTTGTTGGGATTCAGAAGGCTTTTAAGCTGGCTGAAAGAGCTTGGATGGACAGCTATTGAGGTTGAATCTGAAGCAGTTGGTGCCATATCTGAAATATCAAATGGGTCGAGCTGCTCTTTGATTTGTTTATTGAGACGACATAAGAGATTTAGAGGGGGGAAAATTCGAGCATTTCTTTTTGTCACATTAGGCGATTAGGATCATGTCAGCTCATACCTTAGCTAGAGCTTCTTGTTCTATGTCTGATTCGCAATCTTGATTTTATACTCCTCCTTTTATTGTATCGGCCATAACCAACGATTTGATTACTGATAATTAAGCTTTTTCTTTTCAAAAAAAAACTTCTATAATTCCAATAATAACTCACTTTTAATCATTGCGTAAAGAAAACTAAACCACACTTTAGAGCATCAGTTGAGTACTATATTCCCACGTCAAACCAAAACACAGAATTTTACATACTGTGATTCATTTGTCCCCATTTAATACTCTGGATTAAATTTGAGACGAAGTTATTAAAAAATTGTCTAACGAATTTATTAAGATAAAAACTAGAAGAATGTAAACTGCACATTTTTTTAATTAAATGGTAAAAGTAACATTATTTACAGATGATCCGAAACAGAAAGTAGCAAGATAAAAAGGAAATCAGGGAGTAATACTTTTTCTTTGCCCGAGCAAAAGAGATTTACATGCAGCAAGTACTTCACCTTATTTGTAAAAGAAAATTCAATTCAAACAAAGAGAAAGGGAATGGGAGTAAACGGTAAATTCACTTGGAATATGATCCAATATAGCTTCTAACTTTCAAAGCCATTCATAGTGAAACCACCATCAACGGGAATAACCTGACCAGTTACATAAGAAGCTGAAGGAAGACAAAGGAAAGCAACCACTGATGAAACCTCTTGGGGTTCCCCTACCCGCCTGAGAGGGGTTCGGGATATCACCTTATCAAGGAATTCTTTGTTTGAAAGGGCCTGCAAAACAAAATTAATGACGTAAACAACTTATTTCATTGGAAATAAACACATGATAGAATAACATGCAATGTGAGTTATTAACATAAATAAAAGCTCATCTTGTAACTGGCAGAACTGTCATCGCCTATTGGCGCGAGACTAAGTGTTACTTAAACGAACTGCTGAGTTAAGCCCCGGGGGTAGAGAGTAATCAATTGGAGAAAAGCCTACAATTTTGATTCTAAAGTGAATCGAACTCGAGAGTCAAGAAATCATCCCTCAGGGGATGAAGTTAAGTGTGGAGTTTATCCAAGTGCAACACTTCTCGTTATGTTTGATTCTATTGTATGTAAAAGAGAACTATGTGATGTGATTCTCAAACAAATATACTTTTAGACATAAGACATAACTCACATAAAGCTAGTTGATATCAGTTTTGAGAACAACTGGGTAAACTTCTACCATTAATCAGTTTTCCAGAATAGTCTTTTTTTAAGAAATTCTGCAAAACATATGAGTATCTAATACTTAACTTACAACAAGTTAGATTCACCTCACCCACAGCTTGGCCAATTAATCAAATTACAAAATCACCTTCCAGAAGGGGAGCCTTGGCGCACCGGTTAAGATGTTGTTGTGTACTTGTGTGACCGAGAGGTCATGAGATCAAATCTTGGGAGCAACCTCTTGTAAAAATAAATGATAGGGGGAGGCTGCCCCTCTTCTTCTTCTTTTATTACAAAATGACCTTTCAGATTTCTGAAAAACCATTGAACAGCTAGAAATTTCGCAAACGACACTCAAAGATGGTACTACCTCCGTCCCATTTTATGTGTCTTAGTTTGACTCGGCATGGTTATTAATGAAGTGATTGAAAAAGTAAAAGTTGTGGTTGAGATTTGAGTATAATAAAGTGAAATGGTGTAGACCACATATTTCTTTCCAAAAAGGGAAAGGAGACACTTATTTTGGGACAACCCAAAAAGGAAAGTAGGAAAGGTAAAATGGGACGAAGGGAGTACAATATAATGATTGCGGGAATAGTAATTTTGAACTAAATTACCCTCGACATACGTCCTGAAGATTCTTATTAGGAAAATCTTTAATTAATTTATTTAGCTGATAGAGCGCATTAAAACATCAACTACAATCACAAGGGCAGACAATGTTAACAATGACTTTGTCTTTGGCTACCCCTCTTAAAGAAGGACGAGTATCATTATGGGGGTGTTTGGATCTGATTCTTAAAACTTTTTCTGCTCCTTCAGAGAGCAGTAGCAGAAGCTGGAGTGTTTGGGTGAAAGTACAGAAGTGATTCTGGTGCTCTAATTTACTCCTAATCAATCATCATTTACCCCAGTGCCGCAAAGGCTCCCACCTAAGGTGGGGTAAGGGGGGGTCGGATGTACGCAGTCTTACTCCTGTACTAAAGCACAGAGAGACTGTTTCCGGATGACCCATAATGAAAATCGTCTCCAAAATTGCATGGACTGACTGCTGCTTCATAACAAAGAAGAGTAGACAGTTTGGTGAGTCATTTTGCTTTATTCCATCATATTCTCAAGCCAAAAAATAATGAATCTTTGGCTCCATTGCAAGTGATGGAAAGCTCTAATTTACTCCTAGAATCAGTTTTTTTAGAAGCTGGGGGTGTCCAGCTTCTAAAAACTGATTCTGATTCTGCTTCTAGTTAAAAAAGAAGCAGAAGCAGAATCAGTTCCAAACACCCCCTATATTCTATGACCTTCAAGTGTTAATCAGCACCCCCCATAGATTATAATGTAAACAAAGCAATAGATCATTAGACAAGGAAGACAAATATTGTATACCGGTTCAACAAGAGAGGTTTTAATATACCAAGGTGCTACACAATTGACCCTAATGGCATCTTTTGCCCATTCACAAGCCAAGTTCTTTGTAAGTTGGTTCATAGCCCCTGCAAGTGCATATTCAATACAAACCAATGAATTATTACACTTGTATAACTATAATCACTACAGCTTCTGTTTTAAAGGGCATGTTTCGTAAGAGTTATACTGCTAAAATGGTTTATGCGTTGAATTTTGTAAGGAAAACTGTTCAGTTACATCCAATTCTGCACTTACTACAAGACTTATTTGATCTAAAAGATGGGAATTTGCTAAATAGTTTTAAATGAATAGATCGAGCTTACTTCATGTGTGCTGAAAAAGTGTCATGCACTCATGCTGGACCAAATGAAAATGAGTTTTCGAGAAATTTACAGATATCTTGGTCAAAACAAGACTTTTATTGCGGGGGAGTTATAATGATTTCAGCCAAAGTGCTTGCTTGGTAAGGGTTATATGGCTGAATTAGCCTAATTTGGTGAGTTTTTAAAAGGGGGAAGAAATTGGTCTCATCAATTTAAGAGAAATAAGTCAGAAGCTGTTGATTTTGTTTATTGTGATCATTATTTCTGTTATTCTCTTACGCTTCTATTGGTAAACAGAACAAGTCATTTAATGCTACAACACAGAAAATTTAACATACATGCTTATGTAAAGGGGCTAATTTTTGTGATTAATAAAGCTCACCTTTGGTAGCGCCATAAATAGATCCGGCAGCAATATGTACCAAGCCAGCAACAGAGGAAACAAAGACAATGGATCCAGCTCCGGATGCCTTTAGAAGAGGATAAGCAAGTTGAGAAAGATGGTAAGAAGACTCTAAGTTGGTAGCCATGAGATAAGAGTATTCTTCAGCTGTATACTCAACGGTAGGCTTCAAAATAGATTTCCCAACATTGTTAACCTGCACCCAGATTAATAAAAGTATCACTGTATCAGGAATGAGGCAGAGAGAACTGTCTCATACATGTCAATTTAATGGCATCTCAAGTTATTTAGGTAGTTGTTTTAAGTGTCCCAAAAACAGATAAAGGATAATTTGCTAGAGGTACCACCTTTGAGGCTTTGATTATATAAGAAGTGAATATCCAAAACTTTTACCTATAGATTTTGATGTTGAGTCTCAAAATCCAGCTCTTAGCTAAGATTGTAAGAACACTGAAAATGAAGTTTTCTAATGCTGATGTACTACAAACTTTGACATCTAGAATGATTAGCTGCTCATCTAATTTAAGGTCACATGATTGAGGCAACTTTGAGCTTTTCCCATTTTTATCTTTTGACAATTGTATCAAATACACTTTTGGTACTCAACTTTGAAAGTTTCCACTTTTCATCCCTTGAATATACTGACAGAGACATCCTTAGTACTACCATCTTTGATTTATTTTCCTTTTAACGATGATTATGATAATCAAATCTTTGATTATGATAACTTTTTCTTGCCATGAAAATGAAGCTTTTGGTACTAGTTTTTTGAAGTTTTGAACTTTGTCATGATAATTGGAGAACCAAAAGTGTCTATCACTATAGTCATGCTGCGGAATACTCACAAGAATATTGAGCTTGCCATCAAAGGCAGAAGAAACCTTCTGTGAGAGAAGCATGCGCTGATCTCTGGACGTGACGTCACAGACGAAACCTGAGACTTTGAGGCCTTTAGAAGCCCAACCTTGCAAGCACTGGTTCAGCTCTTCTTCATTCCTGGAACAGGTGTATACACTGGCGCCCATTTCAGCCAGTTCCTCCACCACTGCACGCCTAATCGAGGAAAATTCATATTACAGGAGGAATTGCTAATCCTTGAAATTGAAATGATTTTCAAGAATTTTATTTAAAAAAGAAAAAGAAAAAAGGGTAACTGGATAAGTAATTAATCAGATACCCGATTCCTCGAGTTCCTCCGGTAACAAGAGCGGTCATCCCCGAAAGAGACCATCTTGAACGACGACTGCTACTCCTCTCTTCATCCTTAGCCATTACTGAAACCATTCACTTCTTTCACAGAAAAAGCAAATATGGATCAGGCGGTGACCACGACACGTTTCGAATTGCATCCCTTTCATTTTTTAAATTAACAAAAGCTTCCCGCGGTTAAAATTTATGCTGCACTTACCCAGAGAATTTAGGTTTTTAAAATTCAGGTTTTCAACTGTTCAATTTTAGAGTATTTAATAATAAAAAATTTACTATTACAGGTCAAAGACTGAATAAATGGCCAAGTTGATCAAATTTTTAAAAGTAAGCGTACTTATATGATATATTTTTTTAGTATAAGAGCTTAAGTGATGAGTCGAAAATAGTAGAAGAACTCAAGAGCTTATTTCACCCCTTTTTTGATGTATTATGCCAACTTATAAATTTAAACATTGTGTATCTTGTACAGTTGTACCCTCTCCGATGGGTGTAGTCTTTGATGAGTTGGCAAGAAAATAATTGAACAATGTGAAGGAGACTTTTCAAGTGTAGATAACCTTTTCCTTTTTCAAAGGAAAAGAAAATTTATAGATAGTATAAAAAACCAATAAAAGCAAGAGTTACGATCAACTAATAGCTCAAACTCCTGCATCTATTATCCAAAAGACACCATCTAGACTAAAAGGCACCATATCTTCTATTATACAAAAGGAGGAGAAAATTTGCACAGTGTTCCCGCTCGAAAATATCATATCAACAGGTCGGGTCGGGTCTTCAAAGCTTTGCTGACAGATTTAAATGTTGTGTTGTTCAAACTGAGTAGGATGGGTCAGTTGTAATGTGTTTTCCAGTTTCTATGGCTAAAATTTTACGGCATTAAATGCAATGCCCAATACCCAATAAAGCATAGTGTGAGGCTCAATAAAAAGGATATGTAGAGTGGGCTGCACGAATCACAATGTTAAAGAGGACAATTTTAATATTAAAAAAGGGCCTGTGTCATTTAGAATTCATTAGTTTGTACTACAATATAAATGGAGATGTGTAATCAAAGCTCTCAAAATAAGTTCAATATATTGCTTGAGCTCATTTAGTGTTTGTACTAAAAATCGGCCAGCACACAAAACATTTAATGTTTGTACTACAAAGTTTAAATTAAATATTAATGAGTACGAATTGTTCATTGGTTAAAACCTCATTTGCTTCCTTCTGCCAGTATATATACCCATTCGACGGGTTGCAAACCATCACTACTTTAGGAGTGGGGAGAATGGGAGAAACTAGAAGTTGTTTTACATTATGAAGAGGTAAATTATGTGCTTAAAACTCTTGTCGAAATTTATTCATATAAGAATAAGAATTTTATGTGTTTTTTGTAGTAATAATCTCAGGTTAACAATCATTGAAAATATCAAAAATGGTGTATTGATAGTACAATGAGTAATTACTAATATCCAGCTTATTGGTAAGACTCAATCTCTAATTATTTTTTAGCATTCCTCTTCTTTTGTATGCTTTCTAACAGTTGGATAAACACATATCATTGGCATGATCGTGAGAAAATGTGTTTCTCAAACACATAAAATCAATGACAACAATAAGGTGTAAATAAAACCTCACAGGTAATAGTAGATAATTTTACATGCTTTAGGGTTTTAAACTATTGTATTTTGAGTGTCACATGTGTTATTTTGAGTGTCAAAGATCAACACTGATACTTGAAGGTCCAAACATTAAAAATTTACTCATCAAGGAAAATATGTCATCTTTAGAAAAAACATTTTTATCAACGGTTAATCTTAGAAACGACATGCCTTTGATAGCGCAAATTATATCCTACGACCGGCACACAATGAGGATGGTGTGCTCGGTCCCAAAAAAAAAACAGAGCATTGATGCTGATCTTCTTCCGCCGCAGCTGCTAAGTGCACGGACAGCCTACCAGACCGATGCAGATGGATGCCCAGCTGCTTCGTTCCTGTCTTTGTTGTGTTTGACCGCAGTAAATTCACATCTCCGTTGTTGGTCTCCTAGATTTGTCTAGTTGAAGGCTCCCAAATGTGAATGGATTTCATCCAACAGATGTCTCTCAATGAAGGCTCTGAAGCTGCCTTTGGTGTGTGTGTGTGTGTGTGTGTGTGTGTGTGGATTGTGTGTATATATTTATTAATACATGGAGTTACATCTTCGTAAAAACGTTTTACATTTCAAAAGACTAAAGTTACATATGCTAAGTTACATCTAATTTGTTCCTCAAGTTACATTTCGATAAAAGCAGTTTACATTTCAACGAGTTACATGTGAATGAGTGCAATTTACATTTTGATTAACTTGAAGTTACATTTCGAATCACACGAGTTACATTTTATATAAACATGGGTACATGGTGCTTACCATGCACCGGTTGCACGGTATACGCCCTGCTTTGATAGTATCAAAATGCAAAAAGTAAGATTTAAAAACAAACTTTCGGACAAGAGCATCTCTCAAACTTTTGAGCAAAATGAGGTTTATATACTAGGCATAAGGGTACATATATATAGTTCAAAATTGTAGCAGTATTCAAATTGATCAAAACCATGCTCTTAATACAAGTAAGTTACTCATAGTTAAAAAAAATGTAGAGATGACGTATCATAGGGTATAGTAGATAAATAATTAGTGTAAATGAACTAAATACTAAACAATATACATCACATAATACATAAAAACCAAGTCAAAGATCTGGGTACCAATAAATAGATCTAGAAGGATCTGTGTACCCATGTAACTACCCACTCTAAAATATTTGCACATTTAAAAATTATCAGCTGAAAGTGGGATAGATATAGGTTGGAGCGTTAGGCCTTCAGATATAAATTTTCTCTTTGTTCTGTTTTAAAAACAGAGTTATTATTGTTCAAAGATCATACACTTTATAATTTTACCGGAGTTCATAACAACAAAGCCCAAAATAAATTTTGAAAAAATAAACAGGACCCTTCAAGTTTATTATAAGAAGAAGAAAAATTGCAATTCCAAGATCATCACCATGCACCAAGGGATGGAATGATTCTTACAAGGTTAGTACACGATTATTTAGTGCCTTCAAGTTTACCACAAGAAAGAAACCATTTACGAGTAAGAGTTTAATGATAGCAATTAACAATTTAATATTCCATGAACAGACATTTCTTTGAAGTGTCTGTTCTCGAATAACCCATCAATTAACTTGTAGTATACATATAAGTATGAATCAATATTATACATAAAAATATATAAATGTTTGCTCAAACAAAGTTTGAAGTGCAATTCCTACCTTCAAACCATAAATATATATTCAATGTAACCGAATTTAATATTGATGGGTTAGCAAATCTAATTTGCAAATGTTTCATTTTTTGAGATTTAGAATACAGTTTAAAATAGTCAGTTTATAGATGTATAATGTAAAGTTTTGAGAATCTAATACTTCAGTAGGAAACAAGTAAACGCATAAATTGGGTGCAAATTAGGGGAACAACGAAATCACTTTTTTAAAAAGGCAGGGTTACACTTCAAAATTTTGAGCACTATTATTTCAGCCTTTATAAGGTAGACTAGGTATTTCATGTTTGAAGTACCAAGGCTAGCAGAAGGCCTTCTTTTATGTTACATCTAATGTTAACATCCACAATCCAAAACGACAAGCTCAAGAAATAAAGTACTGAATTCATATGAATGAAATAGAGTACAAAATTCATTTGAATTACCAAGGCTAGCAGAGGGTAAATTTAGGATGAATAGAGTACTGCACTCATATGAATAAATTTAGGATGAATAGAGTACTGCACTCATATGAATCAAATACCAATAGTGTTTTCATCCTTGGATATGTATTACCACATTAATGCTTTGTTTTTTGAAAAAAACTTTATAATGCATATAATGTGAAGAGCAAAAAATGGACTACTGAAATGCAATCATTTCGAAATGTAAAGTGGATATCTTCTATTATACAAAAGGAGGAGAAAATTGTACAATGTTCGAGCCTAAAACACAACCCATGTAGAAATGACTCACAGTGTGGTTTCCAGAGATATCTTAGCAACATAGTTATAGCATTTACAAATAGATAGTCATATGACTATCCTGGATTAGGGTTTATTACAACTTAAAAGTCTTCAGACCAACGGACTGTCAAGCCACACAGTTCCAAAGGCCATTTAAGTGGCTGGCAGGGAATCTAGCAGTCCTAGGGGATGGGCCATTGTAACCGGTAAGCACATTTAATTTCTTTTTTAGTGTAAACATGAGGAAGCTGAAAAGTTTGAAGTCTATTTTAAAAATGAAACATAAATGGTAATGCAAATCTTGTAGAAGTAAATTTTTAAAAGTGTCACTGTTATATGCATAATGAATTGTTAATGTGTACGAAGTATAACATATCACAACAGAAATTATTTTCGAAAATCTGAGACAGAAAATGTGTTTTTAGAAATCTATATTTTTAAATAAATGTGTACCTAAATGATAGATCTCGGTTGCTAAAAGCAATACTAAAAATATACGATAGTACATATCTATCACAACTGCACATGCATACACTTTAAATGAATCGGAGGAAGTGTTAATTTTTTTTATATATTATATGATTATTACATTATAATGATATTAGAATATTCCAATTTATTAATTAGAAATGTTATTATTGCTATTAATTGTTATAACTATTGACGTTGATTATTAGTACATAAAATTGAATATATTTATGGTACGTCAAAGTCACTAATATAGTTGGTCTGGAGATTATATTAAAACATTTTCTCATATCATGAATTATTACAATGATTTTATGATATCTTTTTATTCATGTTCATTCTCATATCATGAATTATTACAATCATTTTATGATATCTTTTAATTCGTGTTCATTAAGATGTCATGAATTTTAATACGTTGCTTATGTAGCTTTTCTCTTACCAAAACCAACTTTAGTACTCAAAAGATAAATATTATACTTAAACAGGGATGACAATGTATGTGTATCATGTGTATGAGAAGCTTTTAAATATGGAGTATATATGTCAATAGACTCTACCAACTAAGTAAATTCATAAGTGAGAAAATGGTTGCCCAGAATTAGGATGTTTTTACTTGGACTCTAATTTGTCCCAGACCAGACCAGACCAGTTCAGACCAGACCAGACCAGACCAGGCTTTGATAGTTATAAAAATACAAAGAAATCAGACCTTACCAGACCAGACCAGACCGGTTCAGACCAGACCAGACCAGCAAATTACAGTCCAAGTAAAAACATCCTTATTCGCTCTATAAGTGATATATACACTTTGAAGAAGATGTCTTATGGGCGACTATACTTTTGCGATAAACTTTCAGAGGTGACCCTAAAAAGATTGCTCCAAATAATACATTCAGGGGCAACTATGCTTTTGCAACAAGCTTTTAGAGGCAGCCGTGAAAAGGTTGCCCCAAATAATACCTTTTTGAAACAAGAAAACTAAGGTTGCCTCAAATGTATTGAGAGCTTATAAGATTAGAGACTACCAAAATTTATATGACGCTAAAAGGTCTTTTAGAGGCAAGTTGTTTCAAAGTGTTGCCTCTATAAATGATTTTTGTTGTAGTGGTTGTTTATCTTGAATAGAAAATTATGATCCAAATCACACAAAACACATTCGACGTCGTGGTGTAACCAGGTGGTAACTATTTAATGAGATTTTACAATTTTTGTAATCTGTTATTATTTTGATCAAAAAATTGTATTATTATGCAATAATAGTAATTATTGTTATTTTTATATTCTTATATAGTTACGAATTTGTATTATGTTACTACCTTCGTCCCTAAATAAACATCACACTTTTCTTTTCGATCCGTCCCAATTTGTAGAAACCTTATCCTAAATATCGTTTATGTAATTACAATTTATTATGTATATTACGTCTTGACTATTTCCATGCTATTATCCATGAATTAATAATTTAAACCTTATTAACAAATAAGGACATACATCTATTACTTTATTTATGTCTTGTGCATCGCACGAGTGAGAATCTAGTAAACTCAAAAACAAGGTAAAAAGTTGAGCGAAAGAAAAATAAAGTTTGAAGCAAAAATAGAGCAAGAAAATGCCGTTGACCAAACCCTATCACATGTTCATTCAATGATGATGGTTTAGGAGGGAGACAAACACTTTGAGCCTGTTTGGTAGCACAAAAATCGGCTGATTTGGAAGATTCTGCTGAAATTTATGAAGTTCTGACTGAAGTGACTGCATTGACCGATTCTGTTGATTTAAGAAAAAATTATTTTACAAATATATTTTATTAATAAAATAAAGAAAAAGTTATATGTAAAAATAGCTAAAATGATCATCTACGGTAACTTCGGCCAATACAGCCAGAAAACTAACTCCAACCTTACTTTTTCTGCTTATTACACAATTCAGCGCGCGAAAGCAAAAGTTACGTGTTTGGTGAAAAAATTGGCTGATAAGCCGAAAAACAGTGGTTCCAAACGGCCTCTTTATCTTTTTCCTTCAAGATCAAACGATCGTAGATATGGTCTAAAATATCGAACTCACCTTATTCATTGACTGCGTCGTTCCTTTCCATGTCTTCATCCTTCTTTCCAACCAATCTAGCCCCTGCTGCTTCATCTGAAAACTAAGAAGCTGTTTACTTCGCCGCTAAAGTCACAGTTAGGTTACTAAGACACGTGAAGTAAACAAGCAAGCTGCTTACTAACCGAAAGATGTGCTTAAAGTGCCGCTTACTAAGCATACCACCCCCATGTATTAATTAAGCGGCACTTTAATCTTTTTCAGTTTCCGAATTTACCCTTACCTTTACACATTGCTCTTAGCCTATTGCTACTACGCCCCCTACCCTACCTTACCCCGACCCCAAACCACCCCAACCCCAAACCACCCCGACCCTCGACCCCTACCACCCCTACCCCCGACCATACCCCACCCACTGTACCCATTTACCCTACCCCGACCCTACCCCCTACCACCTGCTCCTACCTCGACCCCACCACGATCCCGACCCCACCCTATCTCCGCCCAGCTTACCACCCCAAACCCCCAAACCCCTTACCCTATCCTCGACCCTACCCCCTACATCGACCCCGATCCCGACCCCCTACCCTTACCCTCCCTTACCGCTACCCTAACCATAACCCCCCACTCGTACCCTACCCCCAACTTGTACACCTTACCATACCCTGACCTTACCCCTTTACCCCATACCATCTGCTCCTACCTCGACCCCACCGTGATCCTCTATTAGGGTAGGGGTTAGGGGTATGGGTATGAGGGGTTGTGGGAAGTAGGGGTATAGGGTAAGGTTGTGGTAAGGGTAGGGGTAGGGCGTGGGGTCGGGGTCGAGGTAGGGGCAGGTGGTAGGGGGTAAAGGGGTAGGGTCAGGATAGGGTAAAGGGGAATAGTGGGGTGGGGGGGTCGGGGGTAGTGGGGTAAGGGGTTGGGGTATGGGTACGCGTACAAGGTGAGCCTCACATATTATGTTATATATTTGTGTTCATGAATGTTTGTGTGTCTACATATGTATAGAGTTATTTTGGACATTTTAATGTTAAACGGTGTTTTAAATCTTTTGAAGTAAAGATGAGTTTACAACACTGTTTATTTTATGCGCTGCTTATTAACGCGAGTCTTAATAAGCACCGTTTAATAACCCGTGAAATAAATGTGTCCTTAGTTTTAGATTCCTACAATTTTTTCTATCATTTTGTAATTTATTTATGTTGCTTTGTTTTGAGACTCGCTTATTGTAGCAATCTCCATTTCAAACGAAATAGAATCTCGCCTATTCCAGTCATTTATGCCGTATGTTCTTTTCTTTTCTTTTTCAGATTAATCAGATTAATCACGTCCTCTATAAGAAATTAATCAGATTAATTTCATTTTGTTTTAAAAGTTGAAGTTCAAAATGGAGTTATACACTTGATATTAACAGTTTTCTAAATGGACACGGCTAGAGTCACGGAACCATTAAAAAGAAACTACTCCGGTAATATAGATAACAGATTATGGCACGAAACAAACAAAATTGCAATGGATCTAAACGAGCTGTCAAAAATTGCTTTCAAAAAACAGCAATTTCTAAAGTAAGACCAAAACGTAGGAACACAATTTTGCATTCTCTCCATCCCCATTTCATATTCTAGATTTGATCGAGGCACATCAATACATCATTCAAGAAACTGCTCCGTAAAATCTTCGTAGTTAAAATTATTTACTCACAAAGTAGTGCATCTAAAGTTTTAATATGCAAAGAACCAAACGCCCCCTTAAGCAAAATGTCCTACAGTTTACATCGAATAATTAAAACAAACAGTGTAAATGTTTACTTTCCCACACTTTGCGTGTAAAGTGTTTACTTTACATCATACCAAACGGGCCCTCAATTTGAACCACAAAATTTAAATAAAAATGGTAAAGGAAGATTAAAAAAAAAAGGAACAAGGGAGCAACATTATTTTCTTATTTGCCTGGCTAATGAGATAAATTGAGACAATGCAAAACACTTTATTACAAATTAATCATTTTAATACATTCCTAACATTTCATAACATCTCAGTTTAACACTAACATACATGGATATAGAGAGAGTGAGAGACATTATTATCTGCCTAAAATTTGGTAAAGTATACCAGTACATTTTTTCATGTTCATTTTATTCTATAATGGACACAAATGAAAGCCAAGGGAGTAGTTGAAAATTTTATTTTACTCCCATTCAAGGTTCTAACTTTCAAAGCCATTCACAGTGAAACCACCATCTACAGCAATAACCTGGCCGGTTACATAAGAAGCAGAAGGAAGACAAAGGAAAGCCACCACTGACGAAACATCTTCGGGTTCCCCTACCCTCCTGAGAGGGGTTCGGGATATTACTCTTTCCAGAAACTCTTCGTCGGAAGTAACCTGCAAAACAAAGTTATTTGCACGGGAATCATTTCATTGGATATAAATTGAATAAAGAATACTAACAAGCATGTGAGTAATTAGCATAAAAAAAGCTGATATTGTGACTTGCAGAAAGGTACAAACAATTACACATTGATGCAAATTCTAAACATTGAAAATACGAAGTATTTGACATTGATTTTGTTCTACGTAAAAGAGATCAATCTAAATTCTAAATTGATGTGATTCTTTAACAAATATCATCTCAGAACCATAGGGCAAGCTCCTGATGAAACTTAAAAAACTGGTTCTTTTTCCCTTTGATTTACGGATAGTTACATCTTCCCAGGCTCGGCCAAATGATCAATTTACAAATCATCCTCGATATTGCCGAAAATTACAAATGAAACCATTTATCATTCGGATTTTTCACAAAAGACAGAAAGATGATAGGATATTAGGATACAATGAAGTAAGAACAAGTTTTTGAGCTAAATCAACCTCAACATTTGCCTCAAATATTCGTTTTGGAGAAAGCTTTAGATATCATACTGTCGATAAAATGCATTAAAAACATCAAATACATCACGAGGCGCACATTTCTAATCATATACATCATCCGTCTTTTATTAGTTGCTCCTATGGGCTTTTCACATATTTAATGAGTTGTGTATAAAATGTGAAAACGTATGTAAGAACATGAAAAAGTAGGAGCATTTATGTCATTTGATAATCTCACATTCTCACGCTTAGAAAAAGGAAAATGTAGCAGGAATTAAAAACTTCCACCTACAAAAGAGTAGAGCAATTAACCGGAGGGGTATCATTACATTCTATGATCTTCAAGTGTCAACAAACACCCTCATATAGCATAATTTCAACAAAGCAATAAGTAGGGAAAAGAATGTTGTGTACCTCTTTGACAAGAGAGGTTTTAATATACCAAGGTGCCACAGAGTTAACCCTAATGGCATCCTTTGCCCATTCACAAGCCAGATTTTTTGTAAGTTGGTTCATAGCCCCTGTAAGTGCATATTCAATACAAAAAGGCATGTTTAGTAATCTGACTTATAATCAAAATTGTTTAGTTATCAAAGAAGTGTCAAAACTATAACTATAATACTTATAGCAGTTGTACTTACCAAAACTAAAAAGTTATACCTTGGTAAAAACAAAACTCTTTCTATGGAGGAGGGGGGATAGGTAATTGATTCCATTCAAACAAGGTGCCTGTTTGGTATGTTTTATTTGACTGAAATGGCTTGATTTGATAAATTCTCTAACAGGAAAAGCACTTGATCATACCAATTTCAGCCAAACAAGTCAAAAGCTACTAATTCTGTATTCTAATTATTTTTCTGAATATCGAAGTAAGGAGAATGAGCCAGACCAGGCTACCAAACGGAGTGTCGGAGCCTAAGTGAGTTAAATGTTACTTATTCTGATAAACCAAATGATCCATTCAACGCTACAAAACGGGACCTTAAATATACGAAGTATATGCCTATGTACAGAATTTTTATTTACTGTGATTAATAAAGCTCACCTTTGGTAGCGCTATAGATAGATCCAGCAAATGATACATGTACCAAGCCAGCAACAGAGGAAACAAAGACAATGGATCCAGCTCCGGATGCCTTTAGAAGAGGATAAGCAAGTTGAGAAAAATGGTAAGAGGACTCTAAGTTGGTAGCCATGAGATAAGAGTATTCTTCAGCCGTAAACTCATTGGTAGTCTTCATGATGTGTGTCCCAACATTGTTAACCTGCCCCATATTAATAAAGATCCCATGAATGAGGTGGAGGGAAATGTGTCTCATGTATGTCAGTTTAATCAGACTTCAAGTTATTTAATTGATTGTCTCAAGTATCCTACAAATGCATAAACCAGAGTGTGTTAAAAGTATCCCATCTTTGATCAAACAGGAATTTAATTTCCAAAACATTTGCCGATATATTTTGAGCTCGAGTCTCATAGTCCAACTCTAAGGTAAGAACTGTGAAGAATAGTTTTTTTGTCATGGTTGAAGTCCAAACATTGTTATATAGAAAGACTAGAAGCTCCCCTAAGGATGTTTTTACTTGGACTTATTTCAGTCCCAGACCAGACTTCAACAGTTGTAAATTACACAAAGGCCAGATCACACCAAATCATACAAGAAAATTTCAGACCAAATAAAATCATACTCTGTAAAAGTTTGCAAGATATGAGGCAAAATTTAACAAATAGTGTGATGAGTTACTATGCAAATATGTGTGATGAGTGCTATGCAAATACGGAGTAATTATTATAGGAACATATGAACTATTATTTGGTTTACTCGGCATTTGATCATGTACAAAAATGTCAACAATTCCTATATACTCGGTAATAACTTATGAACTATACTTACCCAGTTACCCCTGCTGACGAACAAGGTTTATATGAAAACAAATGTGTGATGTACCTGTATGAAAAATATTCGTAAATAGATCCCTATTCCACATTATACTTTTAAAATTTGGGAACACTTATGACTCTGTAGACATCGCAACTAAAATGAAAGCATTCTAGTGGAATACTCACCATAATATTGAGCTTGCCGTCGAAGGCAGAGGAAACATTCTGGAAGAGAAGCAGGCGCTGATCTTGTGACGACGCTTCGCAGACAGAGCCTGAGACTTTGAGGCCTTTAGAAGCCCAATCTTCCAGGCTCTGCTTCAGTTCATCTTCCTTTCTGGAACATGTGTATACACTGGCGCCCAATTCAGCCAGTTCCTCCACGATTGCGCGCCTAGCCGAAGAAAAATCAAACTTTACACAGAAGGATTTGTTTGGTAATTAACTTTGCCAAACCTAGAAATGGTTTCCGAAAAGCAGTACTCCATTAAATAAAACAGTAACAGAAAAGGCTACAAGGTACCCGATTCCACGAGTGCCTCCAGTGACAAGAGCGGTCATCCCAGAAAGAGACCATCTTGAACGACCCCGCTCTTCAGCCTTCGCCATGAGAGAAAAGAATGCTCTTATTATTCACACAAAAAGCGTATGAGCGACGAAGAGCAATTCGTGAGCTCAATGGTTATCTGTAAAACTGTACGTAGTTGGTTGATTGCTCTGACCTGTCGACTGTTTTTATCGTGACCTTTCGACTTGAAAACAGTACACGACTGCAATTTTTCTGATTTGACCAGACTTTTCTCTTCACCCAGTTAGACCATTTGGAGTGGTGCAAGAGTCCAAATGTCAAAAATGGACTCCGTCGATATCAAAACAGTGTTTTGACTCCTATTCTCTGCATTCCAGCACCGTCAATAAAATACACTCTGCACATTTTTTTACATATCAATTTAGTAAAACATTAATTAAATTATTATAAGTAATGTTTTCCTTTAAATTTTTTCTCTGATTAATCATAAAATAAAAAAGACACATTTCGATGTAAAAAAAAATAAATTTCATTATTTTTTTTTTACGTTTTTTCCTGAGTGATTTTCAACACATTAGAGCATTGGATTCTCTTCTCAACTTTGTGTCTATCCATAACACATTGGATTCCCTTCTCAACTTGTTGTATCTTTTCAAATCACATTGGATTCTCTTTTCCATTATTTGTGTCCTTTCATAGCACATTATATGACATTGGATTCTCTTTTTTACCATGTGTAATCTTCCATACCACATTGGATGCTATTCTCCACTTGGTTCAAACATATTAATTTGGATGTATCCTCCACTTGGTGTGAACATCAAAGAACTATATTACTATAAATACATGGCCTCACTTGACATTGGAATCACACACCTCATCTTTACTTCTCCCATTTTCAACAAGGCCAAAAACATCATGAGTTCTTTTCCCGCATTTTACAAATCCATTAATGAAGATGAAGATGAAGAAGCTTATATCCATTAATATAACGAATATATATACTAATATAACCAATATAACTTATATATATACTAATATAACTAATATTATACGAATATATATACTAATATTATATATGTACTAAAATAACTAATATATATTACTAATATATATATATATATATGTTGGAAAAATGTGTGAAAAATTGCATTAAATGGCTATTTTGGGGCAATTTTTTGAGTGGGGTCCACTTCCGATTTGGGTCGGGTGAAATTGGTTTCGGATTGTCCTTGTTAAGGGCTACAATTCGATACGTGGTACACTCAAAACGGATAACGGGTGAATGAGATATCGATTTTCGAAGTTTACCCGTTGAAATGGAGCAGCAGCCGGCTGCTCCAGCAGCCCACTGCCGGCAGGACAGTCCGCAGCAGCCTGCTGCCGGCAGGACAGTCCGCAGTAGCCTGCTGCTGAGACGTCTTCCGCAGCCTGCTGCTGAGACGTCTTCCGAAACACACCCAACAATATATATATATATATATACTAATATAACTAATATATATATATATATACTAACATAACTAATATATATATATATAATATACTAACATAACTAATATATATATATAATATACTAATAAAACTAATATACATTACGAATATATATATTATATATACTAATATTATACTAATATTATACAAATATATATAAATGCTTTAATTACATAGTTATATATACACTAAATATTATACGAATATATACTAATATACTCTAAAATATCAATATAGTTATATATATTTCAAAAATATATTAGTATATACTTTATGAATTAAAATCAAATAATAGAGTAGTTTAGAAATTACCAAATCGTCTAGGTTTGACCCACTCCTCGGAGTTGCGTTCGCTTTCCGCACACAACCTTTCCATTGAGAACATTGATTATTGATGATCTTGAAACGAGACTCAATTGCATCTCGAGTTCGAGGAATTTGACTTTGTGCCGAAAATATCTCGTGAATTCGGCCCCAGAAAGTCTCCCCCGGTTGATTTATTCCAATGGCACCATCTTCAGATATGGTGACCCAAGCATTACATAGAACAACATCCTCTTTAGCATTCCAATTAACACCCCTTTTTGAGGAAGACATAACAAAATTGTAGTGAAAAAATATGATGAAGAATGAGAGATATGGAAGATGTGTGATTAAAATAAGAAGGAATGAGGTGTTTATATAGGATTTTCGAGCAAAATATCAATTAAAAATAATAGAAAAATAAAATAAATTATTTCAACCGTTGGATTTAAATTTCAGCCGTTGGATCATTTTTTTTCCCGTTCAAACAGTGTCAAGTTCATCACAACCGTTGGATCTACCAAATATTTTTTTATACAAACAATTGAGCCGTTGGTAGTGCATGGTGCCTCATGCTGACATCAACATGATGTCAACGAGGCAAATAATTCCCCTGGCAAGCCTTCTGCTCCCGTCTGCGCACAACAGGTATGCCCCCACTCCCCTTTTTCTCTTCTTTTCCATTTAATTTTTGGCTGTCTAAAATTCCTCCAAACTTAACCCCTTCCCTCCCCAAACCCATTTTTAATACCCTCCACACTCAACCAATGTAAGAAATTAGGAGTCTAAAAATGCCATTTTAACATTTTAGACTCCTAATACCTCACCACTCCATTTGGTCTTAAAGTTAACTTTCACGTTCATTAATAAAATAAAAACCGTGTGGTTAAAATTTGTGCAGAGGCGTGAGAATTAATTTTAGTCATATATTTCTTAAATTAAATGGAAATGAAAAATCTTTTTGGGATATAAAAAAAATTGGCCAACCTTTTCGGGACGGGTGGAGTAAATAACAAGTGGTGACCCTGATTTGGCCTGATCTGATCAAGTCTAGTAAACGTCTAGTTTATGTGTGTTAGAGCAAGAATTTAACGGTTTATGTTGCATTAAAGAGGGTTGACCACTGAAGTTAATGATGCGTTCATGAGGCTTAATGGTGCCTGTTGTAAAGGATTTGTGTTTATTATTGCAATTAGTAACGATATTAAGGCAGAAGGTTGATCATTTTGAGCTGGCCAACATTAATGACGAGTTGTGAAACTGATGGGTCGGAACCGTCACGTCAAACCACCAATAACAGACAACTGGAATCAATGAAGCGTTCAAAACTCTCATTCTTTAATACTGTAACGTTTCTGTACGTTATTAGGTTCTTTAATGTGATTAAGGAAGGTACTGAGTACAATTGACCAGCCTTTATGACAGGTTTGAATTCGTCATAAAGTACGGTCAACCCGTCAGTAACGGATGACCAACTCGTCAGTAACTTACAAAGCCATCAAGAGAGCATTAATTACCATTCCTATAAATAGGATATCCCTCATTGTAATGAGGGCAACTGAACACCTACCTTAATCTAAAAGCAAAAGAATTTCAGGGAACAGTGTTCCCGCTGAAATCTATCATTGTCTGTGTGTGTTGCTTTTGGAGGCTTATTGCGTAATTTCTCCTCAGTCTTATTGGTGCGTTGCAATTGGAGGCTTTGAGAGGTGTGAACAGTTGAAGGTCATTTTCAAGTTATCCTATTGGTCTAAACGGGCGGTCAACACTGTTTGCTCTAATTCTATAGTTTCAATTTTAGCTGGACAAGCAAAAAATAGAAACCAATGATATCTATCCATTCTTATATAAAAGGAAAAGAAATTTCTGGCATGTTCCTCCCGCTTCAAGTTGAGCCTATTGATTAGTCACATCTGCTGAGGTGATTCCATGCTTCTCAACCTACATGCCAAATTCAATGTATTATAATCAGCAAAGGTTGAGCATTGGAATTGGCTATAAATACAGAGTTGCATTCCAAGTTATTCAATTGTGAAAATGGTGGGGATGTTGTCTCTGATTTAATAGACGTCTGATCTATGTTTATTTTACCATTATCAAAGTTGGGTCTAATCTCTTTAAATGTGATCTGTTTTAATCCGATTTGATCCGTTCTCGCATTAAAATAAGCCAGGTAAAAAGTAAAAGCATCATATGATTTCTATCTCGTAATAGATGAAAACTCAAAAAATGGATAGCCACCAAAGCCACCGAAGCTTTAAAAAGACTTGTATTTTAAATTGTTTGTCTTTCTTTAAATAACTTTTAGTCAACCAGCATCATTGTTTATAAACTAGAGTGATTATAGCTTTATAAGGTGGGAGATAAGTTAGATAATGAAATAGACAGCGAGAAAAAGTGTATACATTTATCGGCAATACATTATTTTTTATATTCTTTGGGAGTATATTTATTCTTTGCATTATAACACTACTTTTTTACTTGAACTTTCCTCTATTACGGAATACATTTCGTAGTAAAGATTTATTTCAAGGGAGAAAATAAGAAATACTACCGCCGTTCCCCTAATATTGGGACATAAGAGAGTGATGTGATTTTTAAGAAAAGTAAAATTATGTGATTGATAATAAATTGACAAATCATCATTACCCCAGTGCCGCAAAGTTTTCCACCTTTGGTGGAGTAAAGGGAGTCGGATGTACACAGTTTTATTCCTGCACTAAAGTACAGAGAGACTGTTTCCGGATGACCCATGATGAAAATCGCGTCGAAAGTTGCATGAACTGACTGCTGCTTCATATTCCCAAGCCAAAAAGTGATAACGAATTACCAAATATGGTAATTCCCAAGTCTTTGGTTCCATTGCAAATGATGTGATAACGAATTAACAAAGTGAGAATGAAATAAAAATGAATTAGAGCCACACAAATATTACCAAATATGGTACTCCCTCCGCCCCACTAACTTTGTTCCATTTTACCTTTTTTTGTTCGCCCCATTAAGTTCGTCCCATATCATATTTGGTAATATTTGAATGATTATATTTCATTCTTACTTTATTTACACTTTATCAATTCAATATCAATCACACAATTCTACATTTTCTTAAAAATCACACCACACATTTTTGTCCCAAACTTAAGGGGACAAATGTAGTATGAGACAAATTTAGTGGGGTGAACAGAAAATGAAAATGGAACAATTATAGGGGATGGAGGGAATACTACATAAGAAGTAGTGTTATATAGTCCGTATGAACTATAGGGAATTAGGAGTATCGTTTGAAATAACATCTTTCTGCAAAAATTCCTACATTAAAGGAGTGTTTGCAAATGTTTTTGTTTTAAAAAACATTTTTTGAAGTGATTTTGGAAAAAAAGATTAATAGTAAAAGTTGATGGTGTTTATGAAAAAGTGATTTTGAAAAGTAAAAGTTGACAGTGT